AATGATTTTAAGAATAGAGGTATACAAAAGATAAGAACAACATACTTTAGAGTAACAGGAGACAAAAGGATAGAGTCAGTGCAGCCATAGCCATGAGCAAAAGGCAAGAATTTATTTTTACTCAATTGCTCAACTAAAATGTCTTAAGTGAAATGGATACTCTCATACATTACTGGTGAGAGTCTAAGTTATAACCATTTTGAATAGGAGGTTAGTCATATTACAAAAGTCTTATAAATGCACATACCCTTGAACCACAAATCCCAGTGGAGGCAGTTATTCTAAGGAAATTGTTAGACTTTTCTTAATCAGTGTGACAGACTTTCACCACTGCCATTATGTTCTCCCTATCCCTGTGGACTATGTCATGCTCCTCTATCACTTTAAATATGTATTCCATTACCTACAGAGACATGTCCTCCCAAGTCTCTAGGAATTAAAGTTTTAATGGCTTAACTTTGTTATCTCTATTGCTTGTTTTTCTCCCACAAAGATTTCCAAGGCAAAGATAATGAAGGTTTGACAGAGTGATACTTTGAGGTCCTTGCCCTCAATGCAGAAGTCCACAAACATACTGCTTGACTTCCCCTACTAGATGACTTAGTGCTCTGGGTCTTCTTTATTGCTTCATGCTTTCTTTTTGAATAAGGAGAAAGATTAGGTAAGAAGTCTAGTTGGGAGTGTCTATTCTAATGCCACCATTGTTACTTATCTTGCAGACATCTGTGATCTTATGAAATTGAACATGTTTCACCTTGAAGACATATGTGACATAGGCAATAAACAAAAAAGCATATGGATGTAGGAATACTAATTCAGGCCTGTTAGAGTTGATGAGGGATGATGATGGCTTAGATTAGACTGCTGTTAGTATAGATGAAGACTCATAGACAATGTTAAAAATTATTTGGGCCCAGCCGGTGTGGCTTAGTGGTTGAGCATTGACCCATGTACCAAGAGGTTGCTGGTTCGATTCCCGGTCAGGGCATATTCCCAGTTTGCAGGCTTGATCACATTTAGGGGTGTGCAGGAGGTGGCCAATCGATGTTTCTCTCTCATTGGTGTTTCCATGTCCTTCTCCCTTCCTTTATCTCTAAAAATCAATAAGAACATATTTAAAAAGTGATTTCAAAATAGAATCACAAGACTTGGTTGATTATTTTGATATAAGTGGTATGACAATGGCAGATGGTATGAAGAATGACTTTTAAGATCCTGACAAAAGTTAAGCCTTCAATATTGGCCATTATTAGTTCTCAGTCATATCCAATAATATAAAATGACTCTGTATCCAATCTAATTCCTTTTACTTCTGATTCAACTTAGATATCAATCTTATTTTAATTTGCATTGGCCTAATATATCTTTACCTATGTATTTGTTTTTAATTTTTGTTAATATTTTGTATGTTTCCCAAAAATAGCAGTGTGTTGGGAAAAAATAATGACTTTTAGCTTTCTGGTTTAAGCAAACTAGATGAATAACGGTGTCATTTCCAAAGTTGGGCAAGATTTTGGGGGGAAAACAAGATAAAAGACATGAGCAGTTAAATTTTGTTGATGTCTATTTGAGATCCACATTAATTATACAAGCAAGAACGTTAGTTAGGTAAGCAGTTGTACATATTAATCATGAAATATTTATAAGTTTGAGGTATAAAATTAAGGTACATCAACATATAGATGATATATAAAGCCATGAGAGCATATGAGCTGGCCAAGAAATAGTAAGGACCATGAGAAGAAAATAGGGCCTAACATACTAACATAGACATTTAAAAATATATATGTTTTTATTTATTTTAGAGAGAGAGGAAGGGAGAAAGAGAGAGAAAGTGAAACATCTATGTGAGAGAGAAACATGAATCGGCTGCCTCCTGCATGCCCCCTACTGGAGATTGTGCCCTCAACCCAGGCATGTGCCCTGACTGGGAATCGAACCGGTGATCTTTTAGTGCATGGATGACAATCAACTGAGCCACACTGTCCAGGGCCTAATGTAGAGTCTTAAGTAAATTTACCAATTGAGAGCTAGGTCTAATAGAAGAGGGTATGCTTGCAAAGGACATTAAGAGGGAAAGATAAAGAGGTAAAAGGAAATGTAGGCAATAGCAGTCAAAAAGTAAAAATTCTTTGAGAAGTACATTGTTTTCAATACCATCAAATGCTTAGAGGCCAAGACTGGAACAACTAGACTAAATATAGTGATATGGATATCATCGCTGAACTTCGAATGAGTAATTTCAGTAGAAAATTGGGAATAGAAGTGAAATAAATTGATTAAACAATGTACAAGAGGTGAGGAAGTGGAGAAAAAGAGCACAAACAACTCATTCTATAAGTGTGGCCATGAAACGCAGGATACAGAGTTGGAAGAGGATGTTGAGTCAAGGGAGTTACTGTTATTGTTGTCCTTCATTAAAGAAGAAAGAGTAAGCATTGAATGTTTATGGGGAGCAGAAAAAAAGAAGTCAAAGATTCAAGGATGAGTTGGTAACTGATGGGGTCTCTAGGTCTCTGATCAAGTTGTGCAGGTAACGAATGAACAGCACAGAAATAGATGTTGGACTCATTCTTTGGTTTACATTCTTTCCATGATTCTTATGACAATTTTCTCACCATTCCAATTCCTTCCAGCCATCTCAGGATACCATTATCCTGGTCTGGAAAGTGTGTGTGTATTATGAATCTGGGGTTCCTAAAAAGCTAGTATGGTAGAATCATTATGAGATAAGCTTTGGAATCAGTCAGATCCAATTTGAATCATTTTTCTGCTGCTTTATTCATGTTTAAACTTGGGCAAGTTACATAATCTTTAAGTTTTATATGTAAAACGGGGGTAATAATAACTAACTACTCAAACCGAAAAAGACCAGTACTGTATAATATCACCTATATGTAGAATCTAAAAAAGCCTAACTCAGAGAAACAGAGAGTAGATAGAGTGGTGGTTACCAGGGGCTGGAGGGAGGGTAGGGGAAATGAGGAGATATTGGTCCAAGGGTACAAACTTCTAGTTATAAGGTTAAAAGTCCTGGAGACTTAATGTACAGCATGGTGATTATAGCTAATAATAATACTGTATTACATACTTGAATGAGAGGAGAGCTTAAATGTTTTCACCACTAAAAGAAATGGTAGCCCAGCCGGTGTGGCTCAGTGGTTGAGCATCGACCCATGCACCAAGAGGTCACCAGTTTGATTCCCAGTCAGGGCACATGCCCAGGTTGTGGGCCCGATCCCCAGTGGGGGGCATGCAGGAGAAGGCCAATCGATGTTCTTTCTCATCAATGTTTCCATTTCTCTCCCTCTCCTTCTCCCTTCTTCTCTAAAAATCAATACAGAAAAAATAAATAAATAAAAAATTAAAGAAATGGTAATTATGGGATGTGATGGAGCTGTTAGCTAATGCTGCTCTGGTAACCATTTTACAATAGAGAAATGTATCAAATCCACACATTGTACCCCTTAAACTTACACAATGGTATATATCAATTATATCTCAATAAAGCTGGAAAAAATAAAACATTAAAAAAAAAGAATTCACTAATGAGAATCATGTTATAAACAAGGTAATACACGTGAAACACTTAACATAATATTTGCTAAATAGTGAGTCTTCATTTCATGCAGTGCAAGAGGCTTGTTGTCAGTTCAAAGTCATGGTCCCTGAGCAAGGTCAGTTGGATACATGAGCCATCAGTTTGCACCTGCATACCTATTCCATCTACATTATCAACAATTTGCAATCTGCTGGCCTGTGGGCCAAATCCAAACCACCAAATACATTTTGTTTATTCCACAGGAGTTTTAAAAATCCTTTGAACTTTTTGTCATCATTTGAAAGTTATGAGATTTTGCATATACATTTGGATTTTTTACTTAACTCTTGGTAGATGTGCACCAATGTAAGAAAACACGACGCTGAGCCAGAACGTTCATTAATTCTGTTTACCTGTTTTACTCCTTTAGGCACTTGAGCGTACAATTCCTGTGATAAATAGCTGAACTTTGAGGTTGCTATGCTGCAAGGGACCAAATGCATGCCTTTAACAAAACGTGGATTGACATTTATTCAGCTATTTGCAAAACAATTGAAAACAAGACTTCAGATCTTTCAGACTTATTTTGGTCTAATGCACAATCATTTGTAAATGAATAAGTGATCTCAGAAACCAAATTGTCTCTTCAGACACTTTCTAATTTTGTTCAGAGTATTTGCAAGTAGGAGGATTGACGGGGCAGAAATAACTACAGACTTTGTGGGGGGAATCTCTCTTCATCTAACTTCACGTCTCCATTTAAAATAACGTTTGTAGGGCCTGGCCGGTGTGGCCCAGTGGATTGAGCATCTTTCCAGGGACTAAAAGGTCCCTGTTTGATTCCCTGTCAGGGCACATGCCTGGGTTGCAGGCTTGATTCCCAGCAGGGAGCATGCAGGAGGCAGCAGATGGATCTTTCTCTCTCACATTGATGTTTCTATCTCTTTCTCCCTTCTTCTCTCTCTCTCTAAAAAAAAAAAAAAAAAATCAGTAAAAATATATAAAATAACTTGTGGAGGGCCACTCAGTAAAGCATTAAATTAAACCTCAAGTCTACCATACTAGAATTTGCAGACCTATTGCTCAGCTACTGAGCTTTGCTATCCGTTATAAAATGACCCCTTTCAATGAATGACCTTAATGGAATGAAGGCATAGAGACCAAAGGTACATCGGCTTTTCTTTTATTTGATAAAGTGTCCTTATACTAGCCAATATTATATCAAGAAACTAATCTGTCAGTTTAGCAGCTAAACAATGCCCGGTGCCTTGGAAAATCAATACCTTTGTTCAAACTGATTTTAATTGAGGATGTTTCAGTTTATCCCTCGATAATAGGTTGCCATCATGTTAAAAAAAAAGTAGTTGAATAGCTGGATATATATGCCAAAATAAAAATGAGCAGAGCTTCTCAACTATAAAAACATAATCTCGCATCCCACTCTAAAATTCCTCATCCTGTGCTCACTTGGGCAGCTCATTTACTAAAACTGGAACGATACAGAGATTACCACGGCCCCTGCACAAGGAAGACATGCACATTTGCGAAGCATTCCATATTAAAAAAGAAAGAAATACCCTGGCCAGTTTGGCTCAGCGGTTAGAGCGTCGGCCTGCGGTCTGGAGAGACCCGGGTTCGGTTCCCGCTAAGGGCATGTACCTCGGTTGCAGTTTGTCCCCGGCCCTGGTTGGTCGTGCGGGTGGCAGACACTCGATGTGTCCCTTCACGTCGATGTTTCTCTCTCTCTCTCCCTTCCTCTCTCTCCCTCCCACTCTATGTACAAAAAATGGAAAAATATCCTCGGGTGAGGCAAAAAAAAAAAAGAAAGAAATGAAAATCCCTAGGTAAGAAGAGCCAATCATATCTGTAGGATAGAGAAACAAAAAGAAATAATGGCGTTACCTAGAGCCCTTGGTGGTTTTCAGTTCTTCCAAGACTTGTTACCAAGTCTCTGATTAAATTACCATTGCTTGAAATACCTATGGTGACTTCTATTTTTGTGACCAGATAATGACTGATAATGTTGATGACAACAGGAAATAGACATAGTAGCAAGGCAGTATTAGTTACAACGAGATGCCTCCTATTCCATTTAACTACTGATCTTCAACCCTAAGGTCAACACGTATGGATAGGAGCAGACATATGCAAATTAGAACTATACAAAATGGTGAGCCACAGAGGCCAACACTGACTCAATGGGTTGAAAATGTCTAAAAAATAGAGAATCTTAACCTTCAGAGTTTGAGCTTTTCCAGTTCCACTTGCAAGGATGTATCAGCTTAGCTTAAACTGATACCACTTAATAATTTTTTCTTTTTAAATATGTTTGTATTGATTTTAGAGAGAGAGGAAGGGAGAGGGAAAGAGAAAGAGAGAGAGAAAAACATTGATGTGAGAGAGAAATATTAGTTGGTTGCCTCCTGTATGCACCCTGAACAGGGGACTGAACCTGCAACCTGAACATGTGTCCTCAGAGGGAATCGAACCAGCAACCTTTCAGTGCTCGGGATGATGCCCAACCAACTGAGCCACACCACCAGGGCTGATATCACTTGATGTTTGAATCATCTAACTCCCTTTGTTTGATTCGAAGCTCAGAAGGCAACCTAACATGACTTATCTTCCAATGTTTGGCTACCTACTGGAGAGACAATGTGCTGAATGTAAGGGACCCTTCATAACACACTAGTTTGGGCAGTGAATAATATAGTATTAGTATTTGCTGATCTATATTTGTTTCCTGCGTGACTTGATTACAAGGAGAGGATGCCTTGAATAGGCCAGCACAAATAATTTAATCTTTATGGCAATTATATTTATCACTGTAAATTAATAATTTGTAATTTTGTTGTTTACCAGGTCTTGTGTGCATATGACCAATTAGGGTCAGGCATTTATGTCCTGATTAGATCTGGGTGCTGACAAAAGTGAGGGAAATAACCTAAGTGACTTTGGCTGGATGACTGGATAAAGAAACTGTGGTATATACTACAATGGATTACTACTCAGCCCTAAGGTAAGATAAAATACTGCCATTTGCAACGACATGAGTAAACCTTGACAATATCATGCTAAGTGAAATAATTCAGACAGAAAAATACAAGAACCGTATGATTTCACTCATATGTGGGTTATAAAACAGAAATCAATAAATAAAAGAAATCAAAAAAATAAAACCTCATAGACACAGACAAGAGTAAGGTGGTTAACAGAAGGGGAAGGGAGGGTTGTGGGGGGTAGGTGAGGGGGTAAAGGGGGTCAAATATATGGTGACAGAAGGAGACTTGACTTGGGGTGGTGGGCACACAATGCCATATACAGATGATGTATCATAGAATTGTACACCTGAAACCTATATAATTTTATTAACCAATGTCACTCCAATAAATTTAATAAAATTTAAAAAGAAAACTCCTGATTCTAGACTATGGTACTGCAATGTCAGATCCTGTCCAGCTTTAGTCAGATTTCCCCTAGACAGCATTCCTGATTTGTTGTTATTTATTTGTTGTTTATTTCAAAATAAACTTGGACAGGTGGAAAAATAATTAAGAGGATCTAGAAAAAATTGATTAATGTAGTTAAAGATGTTTTTCTTAATTTACGTGCAATGTTTTAGAAATGAAAATGATTTTAACTAAAAAATACAAAGTTAATAGTATTTTATTCCTCCAAAATATATGTCCTTGAGAAAGAAGATGCTATTGATTATAGATTAGTATGAATCAATATGTTGATAATATGTACTGGAGTGCTAAAAATTCTTATCCAATAATTGGAAAGACACAGGCAACTAGGCTGTACATGTTCACATCAAGAAGAAACTTCAACAGAGTTTCAAGAATACTGTGAATAAAGTTGAGAAAGATAGACATTGCTTTTTGTAAAGTAAGATTAGGTGACTTGCTTTTGGTGTACCGAGATTTCCCTTTTTAGATATCATATCAATAGATATAGAACAAGACATATACTTGTAATAAGTAACCAACAACCACCTACTTAACTTCAAACAAAAATAGGAAAGTTATCACATCTACTATATAATAAAAATTAATGAAGGACCTTGAATATAAGTACTTAGAAAATAAAATTTTCTGTTTATACTGTTTTTTAGAACACTAGAAGAGGCATTTTAGATGGAATTATAGAAAACAGATTTTAATGTTGACATGACAGATTTATATAAGTGGACTCAGTAATAAGACATACAGCAGGGACATATGTATTTAACTCAGATCACAAAGAAAACATCGAAACATAGATGTAACTTGCTCTCCTTGTGGAAACTGCATGGCAATTTGGGCTTAATAAAATAAAAGAGCAACTGGGAAGCTGCTCTATGCAAATTTAGAACCGTCAGAAATTAGTTGGGAACTTGTTTTCCCCTGACTATAACTCAACTACACAATTCTAATATTGAATAGGTATGAGATATACATGAGTATGACTAATATGAGTATAACTGAATTACATATTCTTGATATTAACTTATCAATATTGATTTGTAGATGAAATACCCAGAATGGAATTCATTCACATACTTCATTTATATCCTGTTAACTAACACACTTTATATCACATTTAAGCATCATTTATATAAAATACATCTCTTAATTGTCTTTGTATGAAGGTAACGGATCAGTTGACTCTTCGGTTCTGCAAAACAGGTATAGTTAGACATGAATTAAGAATGAAGAAGTGAGTTCAGCTGGTGTGGCTCAGTGGTAGAGCATCTACCCATGAAACAAGAGGTCGCCGGTTCGGTTCCCAGTCAGGACACATGCCCAGGTTGTGGGCCCGACCCCCAGTGGGGGGCATGCAGGAGGCGGCCAATTGATGTTCTCTCTCATCAATGTTTCTATTTCTCTCTCCCTCTCCCTTCCTCTCTCTCTAAAATCAATAGAGAAAAAAAATTTTTTTTTAAAGATTGGGTTTTGTTAAATAATCATATTCATCATCCTGATTCTCTCTTTCTGACTCCATGTATCCAAATGTGGAAATGGGGGTAACTTGTACCACTATCACACCAAATTCCTAAACTTTGCAATCAACCTAAATCACTTTTGGTGGGAATGTACTCTAAGCTTTTGACCTTCAACCCCTAGATAGGTTGCACCTGCCTGGCATTCCCTTAAGCATTATTTCATAGCCATTCTTAAGCTCTTGAGCAAAACTGAAACAGTTGTATGTTCCATGTCACACATACTTGCCAAGCTCTCATAAACTTCCACACCCCATCCTGGGAATTCCTTAACACTTTCCTCTTACCTAGGGCTCATACTCAGGACTCATAAGGTGGACAATTTATAGAAATTAATTATCACATGGTGTTTAATTGGCTTCATTTTTTAATGTTTGGCAATCGTTTTTCTAATTTGTCAGATTAATTTGTCTATATTTAAAGCTAATACACAGAAACATTGATTTTGTTGATTAAAAAATATGTTGATTTATGAAGTTAGAATAGTTTGTTCTCTTTTATGCATGGCAAATTAGCTGAGATCAAGGGGTGACAATGTATTTACAAGTATGCTGCTAGGTAAAATTAGAGGAACCGATATCAAAAACAAGGGGGGGGGGGACTTGGAGACTGTCCTCAAACTGGTTTCTTAGGCTGATCCAACACACAATGTTAACTTTATGTTGTCATGGCTATGCTTTTCAGAAATAATGACATTGACAGGTACAGACTTTAATTATTGTTAGATATTGTTATTTCGGATATACCATTGCATCCTTGATGCTTTGAAGGAAAGAGATTGTATGGTAAATGTTCTTAATCTGTATGGTCAGGGTATAAACAGGATTTGGCAGGGCTATGAACTCCCTGAAATGTTATGCAAAATTCTGTGTATATTTGCATACATTTTTTTTCCTGTGGAAAGAATCCATAACTCTTAGACACTCAAAAGGGTTCTCAGGGACAAAAAAGATTAGGAACTACTGCTTTTGAAGAATGAGAATTATTCACACAACATCTATGGATGATCCTTAATGCCTTCTTTATGATACATCTACCCACCAACATAGCTCCAGAAAGTGTGCAGGAACTATTAGGTCCACCTTCACCTCATTCATTTATTTATTATTCTCTTTTTTACTCCTCACCCAAGTATATTTTTCCATTGATTTTTAGATAGAACGGAAGGGAGGGAGGAAGGGAGAGAGGGAGGGAGGGAGAGGGAAAGAAACATCAATGTGAGAGAGACACAAAGATTGGCTGCTTCCTGCACGACCCCAACCAGGGCCAGGGATCAAACCTGCAACCAAAGTACTTGCCCTTGACCGGGAATCAAATCCGCGACCCTTCGGTCTGTGGGCTAATGCTCTAATCGCTGAGCCAGAGTGGCCATGACATCTTTATTTTGTTCATCTCTAGCACGTATGTGTCTTCTAACAGATATAAAGAAAATCAGAATCAAAATTTTCTGGCTATATCCAAGGGTCATACGCAACCCTTAGACCTATGCTTTTCAACAATGCTATAAATGCTTGTTAAATGAATGCAACACTGGCCACATCACCTTGCAACTACTTTGTGAATAAACATGGTTTTTAAA